GAAGAGTTGGTCACTACTAGCTGACATCATTGACCAGCGAGGGAGTACAACCACTGCGCGCACAAAATCTCGCCTCAGGCGAGAATTTGCACATGAGCAAGGCGTCAATTTGAAGGTCACCAATCAAATGGAAGCAAGAGGTCTAAACTCATCGTGGGTTCGACTTCGAATAGTCAAAACATAGCATAATCACTATAACACAGGGCATAGCAATGTCAGGCATACAACAAAAAACAAAGGCATACATGCATAATGTTCACTCAGGAACGATACAACCATCTCATTCCTCATCAGCCTCCTGAGAACCATCATCACCTTCTCCACCATCATCACCTTCTCCACCCTCATCACCATCTCCACCCTCATCACCATCTCCTTCATCACCTCCTTCAACACTCCCACCTTCCTGAACCAAACGCTCTGAACCAGATCCCTCATCATCAACAGGTTCCTTCTCCACAGCCCGATTGCGCTGACCGGACACTTCAGGATACAGACTCTTACCCCGATCAGTGACCGGCAGTAGAGGCCCTTCGGTTGGACCCCATAACGCCCTGAATGATTCCGTTGCAGGGGCATTCATCTTCATCAATTTCACGTTATCGATATTAACGTGATCCATGACGAGCCCGTTTAGACCAATCGTCAGGCCAGGTCGGTGAGTCTCTGTCAACAGATCTAACATGAATAAGCCAGCCAACTTCTTCTCCTCAAACTCTTCATGAAAGTGATTCGTCATCTCATTCCACTTGATGCGAGTGTTGAATTGACCTGAATTCGTGAGGAATCTTTTCAGGGCAGTGTACATCAAGTTATCGAGTCGATTCCACGCTCGATCGCCATAAGAATGAGGCGTTTCGTTGAACTTGCTGTATCGACGATCCGCTAGGACCGAAGCCAAGAAGACAATCATCGCACTCTCGGGCATGCTCTGGTCTTTGTAGTTGGGCAGTGCGTGGAATAAGCCTGCTGTACCATACAACAGGAACAAAGCTAAATTAAGGAGACACTGTTTCTTGACGTTCGAGATATCGCGAGAAGTATCGGCAGCAATTGATTTCTCTTCGAGAGCTTTAGCATTAGCCACCTGAGAGGTTTGAGCACTCGCACTCGAAGTGATAGTCTTGACAGTTTTGGAGGAGCCTGCAATCGATTTGAGATTACCTGAGCTGAACTTATTTCGATCGTTGAAAAGCTGATGTAAGACTGAATTAGTCTTATGATCGGACCTCATCTGCCTGATTTCACGAGTTCGTATTTTTGCAGCCTCAGCCTTCTTGATGAGTCCGTTATGAACTTCATTCTCGTAGATCAAGTTCATTCCCAGGAAGATGTGAAAAAACTTCTTCTGCAAAGCTTTGACACTAGAAGGCATTGATCGGGCACGTTTAGCAGGTTGATCGTCAGAACCAGTGGAATAACATTGATTTAACAACCAGGCAATAGTTTTGCCCATCTCTACAGAAGATTCCGAAACGCCATCGTCCCCCTCCGTCCTGATCTTGAAAGAGTCGTGATTGTTCCCATATGAAATGAGCCTAAGGCTATCCGATAGAATGTCATGTAACGAGGAGTAGGCATTTCGGATGTTGCTCTTGATGACAGAATGACCAGTCCAATCCTTCATTTGATCAGTTCGACAAGACATCGAGTGCAGTGAACGAAATATAGCGGATTTCCTAGAGTAGGGGTATTGAGCGCTGAGTCGGATCAATGACCAATCCAATCGATCGGTAGCGAGATAGGGATCGGTAGATGAAACTTGTAATAGACGAGGTGCTGGAATCAGATGCAATGACCATCAGTATCAGAAATGCATAGGACAGAATATACAGAGCAAAACAAAACTCACAACATTGAAGTCGTAGATACATCATCTCACGATCCTCAACTAGAGCTCGAACGTAGTTGAGGTGAGGGGTCAGGTCGGATTCCAAAGGGATTCCTTTCGCTGAATCGAGATCGTACTCCCATGAGTGTATCACGTTCGCAGCAGGCACTGTCAAGACGTCACCCCAGTTGAATTGGGACGAGGTGATGGCATCCTGGTTTGCCTTCAGCTCCAAGATCTCCTCGGGTTTGGGATCTATAAGCAACGCTGGTAGTGAAGGTTATAAGTCAGCACGTTATTCGATCAACTTTGAAAGAGTGTACAGGTAGGGAATAGTAGAGATAGAAGGAAAAAGGAGGAATTAGACCGTTCAATTGATAGAGAGATGAAAGGGAACAGACCGTTCAATTTATCGCTTGAAGCGAGAAATTGAACGGGCTAAAGTGCAAGAGACAGACCGTTCAATTTCTCGCTTGAAGCGAGAAATTGAACGGAGCAGAGTGGGAGAGATAGATAGGGAGAAAAAATGGAACAAACCGTCCAATTTCTCGCCTGAGGTGAGAAATTGAATGGAGTAAAGTGGGAGAGATAGATAGAAAGGAAAAGAGGAAGGGAATTCGAATAAAAGAAAGATGAAGCTTACCACTTAAATCCGGCTTCTCAACATGAAAGACACTTTTCTCATCCACTTGCATAGTTTCATCCTTATCCTCTTCCTTCTCTTCAACCTTCTTCTCCTTCTTCTTGTCAGCCTTCTTCTTCTCATCAACCACTTCTTTCATTTGAACCTGCTGATCTGGGTACTGCTCTCCTCGAGCCCAGTCATCGTCCTCTTGAGTTACAATCGCCCGGCTTTTAATTCGGGTCTTCGGGCCTTTAGACTTGCCCAAAAGCTCAGAAGTAGCCTCCTTGTCCGATGCCTTCGCCTCGAGGTCGAAGAATTTGGAGACATCTCCCACCTTGCCACGCTTCGTGGATGCTGGTGAAATATGAAAAGGTCAGTTACTATTACTACTGTCTTGGTAATGAAGTAATCACTCACATTCTTCATTACTTGTTGCTTTACGCTTCTTAGCAATAGGGATTGGACGAGGTCGAAGGGAACGATTGATACCAACAGGAGCAGGTGGGTTGCTGGGGACAAAAATCACATCTGGGTGATTGCCAGAAAGGGCAGATAGGTAGGCTGCTTCGTCCTCTCGCATCGTGGCTTCTAATTCGACTAGGAAGGCCTTCGAGAGCATTAGGGCCTTGTCGATTGCGCCATCTTGAGCCTCTTTCTCCAACTCGGTCACCTTCTTCAGAGTCGTTTGATACAACACTTTGACTGTGTATCACAAGTGTTAGGTAAGTAAGTGTCACTATCTCATTGTATGTAATTGATGGTGAGTGCTTACCTGATTCGTACTCGGCCCTGGCCCTCTTTATTTCGACTTGACGCATTTGCTGAGTCGCGCTGAAAGGGGTCTGTAAGTCTGGGATGAGTATTCGAATGTGTTGTTGAGCGAGATGCAGGGATAACTCACATCTCCCTCCTCAATTTTCGAACCAGGGTCGGGAGAACAGGTCTTCGCCGAGGGTTGAGCCGAGGTATGGACAGGTGCATCCTTGGAAACACCCGATTCCTGCGTGAGAAACGCATGTTAGTCAATGAATCACTCAATTAGATTGCAAAGTTTGGCCTCACTCCTATTTCAGCTGGGTGAATTACTCCTGAGCTCAAGGGTTGAGATTCGGTACCTGCTACATTCTAAATGGTTTAAGAGATGAGTTTCAGCCATCTTACCAAATAATTGTACTTCCTTGATGACTGACCTCATTGGCCTTGATTGGTTCCTTAGGTTCCTTATCGGCTGTATGAAGATTAGGATCTATTCGATCCTGTGAAGATGAAAGGATCAGCAGGTGAGTTGTACGTTCAGAGGTTGATTAGGCAGGGCCACTAACCTTCTTGGCCACCGGGGTTGGCGTTTCGGGGACTCCGCCTGGTTCTGTCAGCTCCTGCAATTTCTATTTGTCAGTACATCATTTGATGATCATTCATGGAAAAGACACCTACAGCGCTACTGTCCTCCATTTCGACGTCAGGTCTGGCTTCTGCGTTCTGATACAGATACAATAACACATACATAAGTGAGGTTACCACGAGGTATCAATAATAAACTATTGTACACTCACACTATCCGAGTTCAATGATCCAAGGTTGGGATGTCTTCCGTACTTGGCCTGTCGAATTCGTCCTGATCCTGTTGACGTGGCCTGTCTGGGATTTTGGAGAGCTGCGCGGTGCTGATTCCCTTTGCCGGATTGTGATGGTTGCTGCTGTTAAGTCAATGATGGTAGATAATATCATCAGCTACGATACTCAAGTTTGATAATAGGATATAGACTCTTGTGCAAATTCTCGCTTGGGGCGAGAATTTGCACGTGGCGCCAAGTCAGCGGTTTACTAAAGGATACTACTGCACGGGCAGGAATGAGTGATTTCGTACAAATTCTCGCCTGAGGCGAGAATTTGCACGGGGTGCTAATGTAGCGGATGACTAAGCTATCCTACTACATTGCCAAGAATGATTGATATTGTGCGAATTCTCGCTTGAGGCGAGAATTTGCACGAGAATGGATGTTTTGTGCGCTGGCGTACGTTATATATACGTATTGTTCGTCACGTGGCTGTTCAAATTCTCGCCTGCGGCGAGAATTTGAACACATCACAGTGGTATGAAAAGGTAGGTGAAAAGATTGAAACAGGGGGTGGAAAGGAATAGTACGATCGTGAGGTGAAGTTTTTGGCCTATGGTGGTTTACCTTGGTCATTGTAAGAGGCGGATGGCTTGACGGGTTTCGGGTCGGGTATTCGGGTCGGGTGTTCGGACCGGGTTTTAACTTTATTTCGGGGTTTTTCGCGGATGGAGACTGATGATGGTAGGTGGAAGAGGAGGATTTCTTCAAAATCTGGGAGGAGCCAGACTTTATAGTCTGGCTTTCTCATCAGGTTAGGTTTCGCTGCATGCTGTGCTGCGGATATTAGGTTTGAACATGTAATATTCTTTACATGTTCAGGCTGTATTCCCTAGGCTTGGTGCGTCAAAAATGACTCACCTGGGCATTGAACCCAAGTGTTACTGCAAGTCAACCTCTGGGTCCCTCACCTTGACCACTGCACCACAGCACCATATGTATCACATGCACATAGGTTGCATACATCAAGACAGCCTGGGTGCGCCTTTTTGCGTGTGTGTGCATTCTGATGCGCGCTTCGCGCGTATTGATGGTGTCATTGGCCTTTGGTAGGTCATACACGGGGTCTATGCGTGTTTGCACGTGTTTACACAAGGAGCAGACACGTGTAGACACACAAAAACACGTGTTTATGTGTACGTATGCGTGTTTGCACCGGTGCATGTGTGTCTCATTACGCGTGTTTGCACTGCTTTGCATCTATTTGCGCTTCTTTGTGAAGTCTAACACTTGTTTGCACGTGTAAACACGTGTTTAACCCGTGTTTGTGTGTGTTTGCAGGTGTTTATCACATGTTTACATGGGTTTGCAGGTGTTTATCACATGTTTACATGGGTTTGCACGTGTTTGCACGTGTAAACACGTGCTTGACACGTGTTTAACACGTGTTTAACACGTGAATGCGTGAGTTTGCGTGGGTTTGCTTGGTTTTACGTGGGTTTGCGCGTGTTTGCGCGTGTTTTGCACCTCCTTGTGAGCTCTGACGTGTGTTTACGCGTGTTCCTGTATGTTTAACATGTTTTACTGGCCTTTGTGATATCATGCTTCGCTGGTGACTTGTCGTTGACAGTTCCACACAGACAACGTGTGTTGCATTCATGTATCACATGTCTTCGACACGCTTTCGACGCGTGATCCCCTCGTCTGATTGGAGTGCCACGTGTATTGTCATGTCTTACGTAGAAATTATGCGGATTGTGCATAATCACCTGCCAGCTTGTCATTGGGTCACGTATTCAGGCGTAATGTGGCAAGCATTTGGTGATTTCACATGGAAATTACGACTTTTATTGATGTTTCACGTGTATTTCACGTACATGTCACCCACAGTGACACGTGTTACATGCTTTGCTCATGTAATTACACATTGTTTTTGTATTACATATGCCTGTGGGCCTCAATCATCATATGCATCTCCCGGGGCGTTGCGCAAATTCTCGCCAGAGGCGAGAATTTGCACGCAAGTCGCTTTCTGCGTGTTTGAACTGCCTTTTGTCGTGCAAAGTCTCGCCCTGGGCGAGAATTTGCACGTGGAGCGTACGGGTTTTAGGGGCTCAGGGCTCAGGGCAACGGGTCCGTACGCTCCCGGGCCAAAAAGCGTACGGAGCGTACTGTCACGGAGGGCTACGGGACTCCGTCCCGTAGCTAGGGTTTGGGAAACACGCTGTGTAAGTCTGAAAGGACCACACCTGATGATTGATCGGATAAAATATGCTCAGACTATTGCAGTTAAACTGTGGTATAGCATCTAGTGCATTTAGACATCACCTTGGGTTTTAAACTCATCCATCAGGATCCATGATGCTCTTTGGAATAAAACCGTGTTAACATGTACAAGCCAATTTGACATACTCTAACAAAACTTAACAACTGAATTGCCCTCGTCCTAGACACATAGTGCATATTCGACCTTTAACTTTTAGCCGATATTCATCTTGCATAAGTGAACGTTATCATGTTATAAAACCAATTAGTGTTACCTGACTCAAAGGTTCCTAAATGTGCGCTTCTATGATTAAGTAAATCAGCGATGTGCGTAGTAATTTAATTTCTACACAGTGTCAGTCTCATTCTTTCAAAGGTACTGCGAGATGCGAAACAGCTTAGACAATAAATCTAAAATGAGAATAGTTCTTCAGTGTTGAAAAATGTTGGCGGTATTACGTACTCTCATTACTCTGAATTTGACTTTTTCTAACCAGTAAGAGAAATGAAAAGTGGCAAGACTGAGTAACTTATGCAAATGAGTGAACGTGCCTTGCAACTTGAAGAATACGTATTACCAAGTTGATCCTGTATGTGCAATAATAAAGTGCGAGTACACAAATATTATCAGTGGAAACCCTCCAGAATTGAGATTTGATTGAAACTAAACATTATATGGTCCTTGACCCACTATAAGACCTAGACACGCACATCAAAAACCTGCTTGAAACTACACCTTATATATTCATATCTGATATAGGTCCTAGACCCAGTATGTCCATTGTTCAATAACAAGAGTAACTTTATAGACACTCTTAAAACATGGCAGGCACATGGCTTTCAGATTTGAAGAAATATACAACCTAGACACGCACAGCATGGGTTCAATACAAGGAGCAAGTACAGTGTGATTAGTGGAAACCCTCCAAAATTGAGATTTGATTGAAACTAAACTTTATATAGTCCTTGACTCATTATAAGACCTAGACACGCACGTTGGAAACATGCTAGAAACTATACTTCATATAAGTCACATCTGACATAGGTCCTAGACCCAGTACACCATTGTTGAACCCCAAGAGACAATGTCTAAGACACTCTTCCAGCATGGTAGGCACATGGCAGTCAGATTAATACGAGTATGAGACCTAGACACGTGCATGCTCCGATTGAAACTATACTTTATATGACCATTAGACACATTATAAGACCTAGACACGCACATCAAAAACCTGCTTGAAACTATACCTTATATATTCTTATCTGATATAGGTCCTAGACCCAGTATGTCCATTGTTCAATAACAAGAGTAACTTTATAGACACTCTTAAAACATGGCAGGCACATGGCTTTCAGATTTAAAGAAATATACAACCTAGACACGCACAGCATGGGTTCAATAAAAGGAGCAAGTACACTAAACAGATTTGTGGAAAGACTTTATGAAAAGCACACGAGTGTCCTCATCACACAGACTTCTGAAATGTCCAAACAACAAAGTAAGAAAGACGTGAGTGATGAAAGATTGATATGGGCAGTTCCTGAAACGTCTTGAGTAATAACTCTTTGGGTCAAAATGTGTCTAGACCTCTAAAGACCGGATGGACGCTTATTTCTACATTGAGCAATATATATGTGATACTTCCCTTCGGGCATCACCGGTACATTAAGATTAAGTGTTGTTGGTTGGGACCACTAGGCGACTGTACATTAATGGAAATCAAATAGTGAGAAAATCAACACAAACTTGATTAAGAAGTTTAAAAGAATGTACCCCATATATATACTCTGTTGGGTAACAATTGATCGTGGAGACCTTCGGGATATACCAAGCCCATCAATCAGTCATACTGTTATTTGGAAAATAAAAACAAGTTAACACAGTTGACATGTTATAAAACCATTTGGCATTACCTGAAAAAGGTTGAAACGTGGATATGTAATGTATCTTCAATTGTAACTTGGCATGTTCAATAATGTGGAGAAAGTATCAATGGTGTATAAAGCAGTAGGGTTGAAAGGGTAACACCTAGTAAATCATACCTTCATTGCATTCAATTGCAACACCAGATGAAAGATAATGCAATCTTGTACGCATTACTCGAGTAATCAATTTGAATTGCAAAACAGACAAAGGTGTAAATTGAAAAATTGAACCTGCGTTTATATTCTATATGTCCCATATTAAAAGGATCCAGTTAAGATTCCGCTGGAAGATTGTTCTGCTCAGAGTTCGGTTTGTGGGAGTTCGGTATGTGGGAGTTCGGTATGTGGGAGTTCGAATGTGGGCTTACTTCTTAAGAAAATAACGTATAACTATAATCGTTTGAAAGAACTTTTATGATTGTTATTTTCTAAAGAAGTTTTATTTTTTTAAGAGGCAAAAAAATCTATGCAGGTTGCAACACCACCTAAAGATTTCTCTTAAAAGTGAGCATGAACAAGAACAATCTCGTAAGTCCTTGCCCCCGTGGCCCCCCGTCACCGGGATGCCCCCGTGACCCCGCGTCACCGGGCTGCCCTGACACCAAAAGGCCTCTAAGGCTTTAAGGGGGAAAACGGGAATGTTCAATGTGGGTGTCGGAAAAAAACATGCTAAAATAAAAACGTGCAAACGTCTAACATGCTGAAATGTGGGAATCAAAAACGTGCAAACGTCTAACATGCTGAAATGAAATGTGGGAA